CCAAAGGAATTCTTTGAACAATTACAGAATATACTAGCAGATTATACATCTGAAGAAATTTGCTTGTTGGGTGACTTTAGTTGTTAATATATACGTGCCAAACCAGGGTCAAAAGGAATTCTTTGAAAAATTACAGAATATACTAGCAGATTATACACCTGAAGAAATTTGCTTGTTGGGTGACTTTAACACAGTCTTAGATAAAAATATAGATAGAAAAAATCAGCTAAATTTAAATCTGGTTCTGAATTACCAATTGCGTTTCTGTCCATGGCGGATGACTTGAATCTGGTAGATGTTTGGAGATTGAAAAACCTTAACAAGAGAGAGTATAAGTTTTATTCGGGACGTCATAAGTCGTGGTCCAGGATCGACATGATCTGGACTTCTTCCTCTGTGCTTAGTGAAGTATGGGAGACAGACATTCTCCCGATGTCCTTTGCAGATCACAACCCAGTCACTGTAATGCTAGTAGATATTCCTAAAAGGACATGTTCGAAACTCAATACTACTTTATTAAGAAATAAAAAAATTTGTGGATAGAACCAAAGAAGACTTTAAATAATTTTTTAAGATTAATAAAGAACCAGATACTACTACAAACATCATATGGGATGCCTTTAAGGCATACGCACGGGGGATTTTTATTCGACAAAGCATAAATAAAAGAAAAACAGAGAATCAGATAATAATTTTGTTGAAAAAACAGATCCAGATACAAGAAGAAGAGGCTAGGAGAAGATCTCCAACAGATAAAGTCAATTAAAAATTCAAACATTACAACATTAGCTAAATTGTATACTAAATCAGGAAATTGCTAAAAAGATTCTATATACCAGACAAAACTTTTTTGAAAATGCAAACAAGCCTACCCGTTGGCTGGCATACAGAATAAGACATGAGGAAAAAAAGAGATATATAAGGGCTCTTAGAAATGAACAAGGACAGGAAAAAAAGTTGCCTATCTGATTTGAAAGGGATTGTGGAAAAGTTTTATGCCAAATTATATAAGCAACAGAGTTTAGATCAAGATTCTATTTCAAAGTATTTGAAGAATAATTTGAATATTAAAAAACTGAATTATATGCAACAAAAAATGCTTTAACAGACATTTACAACTTACGAAATTGTGGAAGCTATCAAAAAACAAAAGAGAAATAAAACACCAGGCCCGGATGGGCTCCCCGCTTAATTTTATATGGTTTTTGAAGAGGAATTAATGACCTCCTTTAAACAAGTGATTCAAGAGGTCCCACAAAGAAAAATGCTTCCAGACTCCTGGAATTTGGCTATAATTTCATTGATACATAAAAAAGATACGGATGCAAAAGAAATCAAAAATTACCGTCCCATCTCCCTACTCAACGCAGATTATAAGATTTTTGCATCTATTATAGCAGCCCGGCTAAGAAAAATACTCTCTGAAATAATTCATCGTGATCAAGCGGGTTTTTTACCATATAGACAGGCTAGACATAATCTGAGAATAATTATGAATGCTTTGGAATATGCAGAGGCTCATCCAGACAAACAGTTGGCAATATTATTCTTAGATGCTGAGAAGGCATTTGATAACATCACCTGGGATTTTATGATAGAGCATTTAAAGAATGCCTCGTGTGGAGAATTCTTCGTTAATGTGATAGAAGCTATCTATACCACCCAAAAGGCTAGAATAATGATTAATGGAGATATGACACTGGAAATAATTATTGCTAAAGGTACAAGACAGGGATGTGTGTGTAATTAAAAATACTGTATGTTGTTAGTCCAAATGTCATGAGTATTGTTAGTCCAAATGTCATGAGTAACTTAAATCACTCTGAGCCCACAGGTGTGTGGGAAAAAGCGATCAATAAATCGAAGGTATTATTATTATTATTATGATGATGATGATGATGATGATGATGATGATGATGATGATGATGATGATGATGATGATGATGATGATGATGCCCCCTTTCCCCTCTACTATTTATATTTACTATCGAAATATTGTTAGAGAGCATACAAAAAGATAGGCGGATACAGGGAATTAAAATTAAAGGTGAAGAATACACCATTCAAGCATATGCAGACGACCTAGCAATTATACTTTTGTATCCGCTGGACTCATTAGACAGATTGTCAGAAGTGCTAGAGGAATTTGGATGTCTGGCAGGCTTTAGGGTTAATGCATGTAAGTCTCAGTTACTGACAAAAAACTGTACCGCCCAACAAATCTCAGAATTACAAAGAAAAACTGGATTCTGTGTTCAGAAAAAGATCAAATACTTAGGCATTTATATAACAAATAGGTTAAGTTCCCTATACCAAGATAATTATGATAAACTTCTGATACAAATTAAAGACGATCTGAACAAATGGGGACAGCTCAAAATATCTTTGATGGGTAGAGTGGCGGTGATAAAAATGAATGTTTTGCCAAGGGTGCTTTTCCCGTTTCAGAATATACCCGTTCTTACTAATTTGAATTTTACAGGTAAACTGGAAAAAATAGTAAGAGATTTTATCTGGCAAAATAAAAAATCCCAAATTAAACTGAAGCTCCTCCAGGAAAAAACAGAAAAAGGAGGTTTGGCACTGCATGACTGGTGTCTATACTTCCAGGCAGCATCCTTGATATGGATTCGTGACTGGGTCAAATTGAATGATTTAAGGATCCTGAAGTTGGAGGGACACGATATGGGTATAGGGTGGCATGCCTTCCTGTGGTATGCCAAACAGAAGTCACATACTTACTTTAACAGTCATAGGTTGAGGAAAGCACTATTAAAAACCTGGAATGAGATCAAAAAATTTGTGTATATCAAAACGCCAATATGGGTGGCCCTGCTTGAAGCCTTCTCAAACCCGAATTTGATGACTAAATTCAGATACGTCACGTATGGAGAGCTGTTAGATAAAAATGGAAAATTAAAAAATCAAAACGTGTTAGAAGCCCAAGGAATCACATTGTCATGGTGGGAGAGAAACCAGCTCGAATCTAAGTGGGCGAGAGACAAACAAATAGGATTTAACCGGAAATACCCAGAATTTGACAAGATACTATTGGGGCCTGAAGAAAAACTTATGCGTAAATTTTACAACTTTTTATTAATGCAAAAGATGCAAGATGAGGAAGTAAAATCCACAATGATAAGTTGGGCCAGGAACATAGGTCATAATATTGAATGGAGTAAATGGGAAAAAATGTGGAAAAATATGAAAAGGCTGAAAGCAACAACGATGAAGGAAAACCTTTTTAAAATGTTCCACCGATGGCATCTCACTCCAGCAGTGTTAGCACGATGTTATTCTAACTTATCGGAGAAATGCTGGAAATGTAAAACCGAAAAAGGTACATACTTTCATGTTTGGTGGACGTGTGTTAAAATTCAAAGTTTCTGGAAAGAGATTCATAGTAAAGTGGTTCAAATAATTGATAGACCAATTCCATTTGACCCAGAGATATTTTTATTAAATATAATGCCTGATAATCTTGAAAAGACAGATGAACATTTGCTTAGTCACCTGCTTACGGCAGCCAGGATGTTGTTGGCAAAACAATGGAAGCAGGAAGTTATACCAACTATGAAGGATTATATAGTTAAAATTACAGATATTGCAGAATTGGATAACCTGACATTGAGATTGCAAGGGAGAGAGGATGACGATGTTAAGAACATTTGGGCGAAATTTTACAAATGGCTAGAGAAAAAAGTATAGATGCTCTTAGGGGTTTGACAAAAATAAATACTGATAATAATTTAAAAAGATCAACTTTAGATAGGAAATTACTCAGCTTTGGCCTAGTAAAGGATGATTTATTGAGACTTGGGAAAAGCGAATATCTACTAATAAGAAATTCATAAAAGATCTAGACTACTTCAGCTCAGTTATACGTGCCTGGAGAATGTGCTGCACCCTGTTACATAAGAACATAAGAGACGCCAATGTTGGATCAGGCCAAAGGCCCATCCAGTCCAACACTCTGTGTCACACAGTGGCCAGAAATACCAGTGCCATCAGGAGGTCCAGCAGTGGGGCCAGGACATTAGAAGCCCTCCCACTGTTGACCCCCCCAAGCACCAAGAAGACAGAGCATCACTTGCCCCAGAGCCCCTATCTATACCTTGTGGCTAATATCCACTGATGGACCTCTGCTCCATATGTTCTTCAATATTTTTCCATCTCCAATTGTCCCAGCTTGTACCAGATACTTCACAGTTCCTCGTTACTATAGAGCATTTATGCTCAAATGTTTGAACACTGCCCTAGCACTAGCATTTACAGTATTCAAAGTGTTTACAGATGTTTTCTCCAGTAATCCTTGCAACAACCTTTTCAATATATATTCAATTTGACTACTGCGGTTATATCTCACCCCTCTTCTGTCATGGAATTCAAGGCAGTTTACATGGGGTTCTAAGCAGGTCTCCTACCCAGGATTTGACCAGATCTATCCTTGATTAGCTTTTTCAGTGGTCTCAGTTATGTGTCTTTCAGCTACCTGCTCGTACCCTATATTTTACTTACTGTTCAAGGAGGAGGGTTAAGGCAGAGAGATCATGATGGCTTGCTGCAGACCACTTAGCAAATTTATGGAAGAGGAGAGGTTTGAACCAAGTTTCTTCTGGTTTATCAGCTCAGTCTCTTAAATTTTATTCTGTACCAACAATTTGTGGGGATGGGCTTTCCAAAGCATTGATTGCCGAATGATGGAAGTACAAATATAGTGGAATTGCTACTGTAGTGCAGTGACTTAGAGAAAATGAGCTGTGATTTTGGAGATCCCTGGTTCAAACTATTACCAGGTAATATGTGTGAAGCATTTAGAGCACTGAAAGGACTATATTATCAGTTGTCATAATCTTTCCTTTTGGGGATATGTGAACTAAAATTGTACGCACTTTATTTTTTCTTTTATCTGAATAACTGCAATTTCTACATCACATTAGGAAATCTTAATTTTTTTCTTTTGCTTCCCTCACCAGCCTCTGAAGAACACTGTGGTGGCCATGCCTGGAAAAGTAATACAAGTAGTTCACTATGGCAAAATTGTTTTATTGTGGAAACCTCAGTTGAAAAGAACTGCGAATGACTTTAGCCATGCATGGCGCAGAAGTATATCATCTGGTGCTGCTGCTAGTACCTCATCAGCAAATGCTGTGGAACTTCTTGGAAAAGCTTACCTCCCAGATGACTACAGCAATGTTACCAAAAAGGTTCTTTCTAAAGTGGGGAAAAACTTGCACAACCAACGTTATCACCCTTTGTGGCTGATCAAAGAGCGTGTGAAAGATCACTTCTACAAGCAGTACATAGGACGCTTTGGGACCCCGCTCTTTTCAGTGTATGATGATTTGCCTCCAGTGGTCACAACAGAGCAGAATTTTGACAGATTGCTAATTCCGGAAGATCATCCTAGCAGGAAGAAAGGAGATAACTACTACCTCAATCGTACTCATATGTTAAGAGCCCACACTTCAGCTCACCAGTGGGACTTGATGCACTCAGGTCTTGATGCCTTTCTGGTTGTGGGAGATGTTTACCGTCGTGATCAGATTGATAACACCCACTACCCAGTCTTTCACCAGCTGGAGGGAGTCCGACTCTTCTCCAACCATGAGGTAAGAAATGCTCTAGATATCTGGGAGGATTGATAATACTCTTTCACTATGACTCAGAAGATTCAGAATGTACCCCTCCACACAAATAACCAACCAATAGTGGGGGGACCCATGCAGACTTTTTGGGGAATCTCATATTTCTCTTTCCTAAAACTCCAGGCATTCATTTATTAAAGCTACAGTTTCTGCTTTTGGGGGGGGGGAGGGTTACCCCCCAATGTATTTTTGTTAGTTTTTTATTTCAGATTTTTCTGCAAACTGGGGGCATTTTTCAGGTTTGTAGAAAGATATGTCGTCTCATCATGGCTCTTGTTTCTGGATTTAAGTATCCACAGATTTGGTCATGTTGTTGAAAATTAGATATATTGATGCTAAAACAGCAAAAGTACAGTTTGTAATATGAGAATAAGAGAAAGTGGTGATATTCATAATGTAGAATCAAAATTGGGGGGAAACATGCAACTCAACCACCATCTCCAGTGTTCTAAAATTGAAAGAACATCTAGATGTGATTGAAAACAAAAACACACTTCAGAAGTAACAGGTGACAGCAGCATTCAGTTGGCTGGTGAAATATTCAGAGATTCCAAATCTCCTGGTAGTACAGAAAACACTACGATGTTCCTCCCCAAATATTCTAGTAAGCAAGTTCAACAGGAGGCTGATACAGTAACCCCAGTTGGATGTCCCTGAATAGTTAACAGTCTCTCCCCTCCATTCTGATTTCTGATTGTCAGTAGCTGAAAGCGAAATAAAATATAGGAATAGTTTAGCATAGCACTATTTTTTCCTAGAAAGCAATAATAAAGAAGTCTCTACAGTTCAGAATATTACTTTAAAAAGAGTCATGACAGTTAAAATACCCATTCTGTATCAAAGAAGGAAGTTACAAGCACCAAACTAACAAAATGTTGTAAAACCTTCTGTTTATTGGATCACTATAAAATAAAAACATACTTTTGCAACCACTTTGGATCACTACCGCTGCAATGTGAAACAAGAATCATGAACCTTGTTGCTGTTTCCTCTAGTAACAAGTACATGTAAAGATGTTTCAAATGAAAGGTCTGTGACTAAAAAATTAGCCTTGCCAGGAGGAAGATGTGTTAGACTAACCTGTCTATTACCAGAGAAGAGCAAGAGTCCAGTAGCACCTTAAAGAGTAACACCATTTGTGGCAGCGTATGAGCTTTCGTGAGCCACTGCTCATTTCTTCAGATACAGCTAGAATGTGAATCCATCTGTCCTTATATCTTGGAGAGTGGAGTGATTTCAGATGCCGAATGACAACAGCAGGTGAATGACAACAGCAGGTGTGATATGCAGACGGGCGGTAGGCATGGAGCACTGGTAATGAGACAGGAAATCTTGGTCTCAATTCAGTCTTGAAGGATGCGTTGTCTTGAGCTTCATTATCAGTTGCAGTTCAGCAGTCTCTCTTAACAATAAACATTCCCAAAGATCAAGGCTGCTTCCAAAGACTGATGATTTTCCATGTGCGTTTTCCATGTGAAGGATGCGTTGTCTTGAGTTCATTATCAGTTGCAGTTCAGCAGTCTCTCTTAACAATAAACATTCCCAAAGATCAAGGCTGCTTCCAAAGACTGATGATTTTCCATGTGCCTCTAGTTTTATATTCTCCTCATGGCAATTTCCCCCACATTTTCCTTGCTTCATCCTACCATAGTTGTGTCCCCACCCCACCCACACTGCAGCCAAAATGGGTTATTGCTAGTTTGGTGAGTTATAACGTTACATTACGATGATCTCTCCATTGCCATAATCCTCTGGATTTCCTGTTTTCATTTTTTTTTTAAAGTATCTAGTCGTTGTTGCACAGGTATAAAGGGAAAGGCCAATGGGCTATTTCCCTTTATATCTCCACGAAAAGAAGGCTAAAGGCTTACTTTAAAAAAACAATTTTAGTATCTAGTCGTTGCACGGAGAAAAGTGAAAAAAAGGCTAAAGGCTTACTTTAAAAAAACAACCATGAAAGCTGGAAATTCAAAGAAGTTTGTAGAAGAAGAAGAAGAGAAGAGATTGGATTTATACCCCGCCCTTCACTTGGAGTCTCAGAGCGGCTTACAAACTCCTTTCCCTTCCCCTCCCCACAACAGACACCCTGTGAGGTAGGTGGGGCTGAGCGAGCTCTGACAGAAACTGCTCTTTTTCAAGAACAGCTCTTATCAGAGCTTGCCCAAGGCCATCCAGCCAGGTGCAAGTGGAGGAGTGGGGAATTAAACCCGGCTCTCCCAGATTAGAGTCCATGCACTTAACCACTACACCAACCCGGCTCTTTGTAGGATGGGACTACATTATTAGCATAGTGATACGTAGCAGTTACCAGTTTAATTCCTATCCTCAAAAAGCTCTCAAGAAACACAGTGGGGAGATGGTAAATGTGAGGGCCTGAGTGAAGGAAAATGGCACATATCTCTGTGGAATCTTAGATAAAGTACTCATTTCTGTCCATACTGCCTGAAAATGGGTTTGGACTGTGTTGTCGTGTCCCCCCCCCCCCCCCCCACCCAACACCGGGGATGACATTGAGAAAGAATGATTGGAAAGAAGAAAAAACTGCTGTTTGGTAACTAAAGTTGTCATAAACCATTGTATGGAACCATTGTATGGAAGGAGCCCAATATAGATCTTTGTTGAATCAGTGTAGCATTCTAGGCTCAGTATTCTTTTCTGTAGGAGCACCTTTCTCAGGGACTTCAGACACTGTCAAATACGTGCTCATCGATAATTGGTAGAGCCTTTCGTTTCTAGTGGGTAAAGTTTTTATAGGTCAGGCTTAATTTTCAATTTTTTATGTAGGAATAGAAATCTCTTGGATATTTTTTCATTCTCTTTAAGTCTCTTTAAGTCTCCAAAAGGAGCAGTAGTATTGTGTGAATGTGGAAAAGAAGCCTCTGTCAATGAATGGTATTTAGTTGAGTTCACTTTTCTCTGTTTTTTACTTGGTGGATTATAATGTCATTATATGAGCAAGAAAGTGCTAATTCCCGTATCAGAAGACTGAGGGGCTGAATTAAAATCGTTATGGGGTTTGCTGTGGGCCAGGATTGGTATATGCATCCCTCCCCTAGGATTTTCCATAGTATTCCCCCCCCCCCTGATTTCCTCTCTCATGTTTCAGGGTTGCAAACTGATCACCTGTTAATGCTCTGCTCTTCGAGTCTTCTGTAAGAGATGAGATGGTTGAATCACATGGAACAGGGCTTTTTTGGCAGCATCCCCCAGATTATGAAACTTTCTGCTCTTGTACATCCTGCCCCCCTCCCCCAGCTTTTAGCCTTCTGGAAACTGGTTAAGACTTCTGGGTTCTGGGAGGTACTTGGTGGTTTTATTCCTTGGTGTGTTTTGTTTTAATTAGATTGTGATTTTATTAACACTGACAAAAAACTGATTTTAAAGATGAGGTTCTGCTGTTTTATATTTTTGTATTGGCTGTTTTTATGTCTGTTTCTTAGCGTTGCTGTCTAATTGTTTTAATATTTCTTGTATCTTTTGATGTTGCTACTCTATGCGGGATAGAAATGTTTAAAAACAAACAGCCTTTGCAGTTATTAAAATTACTGTGTTTTAGTAATTAGGAAGTCTCTGATCTTATGAAATGCTTGGTTCAACTGGTCCTAACATCTACGGTGCTCCAAAGTGTCATGGATGAGAGCAGTAGAAAACCTTTAATCTTAGGACTGACATTTATGGAGATAGACTGGTATTGCCAGTGAAGCTAGGAAATCCTAGTTTCTCCTTGACTTTCTACATCCCGCAGGGAAGATAAGAAATCCCACTAGGGTTGCCAGCCTTCAGGTGGTAGCTGGGGATCTCCTGGTATTCCAATTGCTCTCCAGGCAACAGAGATCACCTGGAGAAAAATGGCTGCTTTGAGAGGTAGACTATTGCATTATATCCCATTATCCCTCCCCTTCTCAAACTCTGCCCTCAGGCTCCACCCCAAAAAATCTCCAGGTATTTCCCAGCTGACGACCCTAAATCCCATGGATGTGCAAGCACTTGACTATTGGCTGCTGTGTCCTGGTGGTCCACTGCAGCCAGAACCCAAATTGGCTAGGACCTTCTACACATGTTGGGGGGATGAATTAAAAAGAAGTTGTTCTCTGTGGCCTTTTCTACACAGGTCGTTCCCCTTGCTTTCACAGCATCTCTCTATTGTGGCGTTTTTTCATTCTGCATTTCTCTCTGCTTTCACCTTGGATGTCTGTTGGTTTTTCTTCGTCTTCTGCATTGATTTTTGTGCCCTCAGCTCTCAGTTCGCTGTCAGTTTGATGTTTCCCCAGCTTTTCTGAAAGTCCTGTGCTTCACTTCCAAACCAAAGTAATTCATAAGCAGAAATATTTCCTTGGATTCCCCCCGCCCCTTTTCTGGCCCCTTGGAGGCCACTCCTCTACCCACACTGAGGTCCTTCCTCCCACTCATTATTGGTCGGTTTTGTGATGGGCTGGGCATGGTTTTTGAACTAGGAGATTCTTCAGTCTGTTTTTACTCTTGGGTAGTCATTAGAATCTTAGCAGAAGGTTAGTGGTCCCCCCATATTGGTGTACAAGTTCCACTCTTGCCTAGACTTTCCATGTTTTATTTTTTTTTAATAAGCTGGTTTAATCTTTCTTAAGTTGTTTATCACCAATCTTTGATTGCCGTAGGAAAAAAGGAAGGGATAGAGTGAGCTGCGTGGTGCACTTGCGCTGGTGGCACCCCCCATTGGGAATGCAAACGACTGCCTGGTCCAAGCCTGTCCCCCTCGCCAGCCCCTTGGTGGGACTTTGACTCTACCTCTACCATGGCCCAGTGGAGGCCAGAAGCCCAGTGGCAGCGAGCTGATGGGGGTGGACTTCCCCACCTCAGCTCCTTCCCTTCCCTTGCCTGCCTGTCTGCCTGCCTGCTGCACCAAGCCGGGTGTGTCAGGGTAGCCGCTCAGCTGCTTCATCGGTGAAAACATGTCATTACTGAGCCGTGGCAGGGTAGCCGCTCAG